GAACATAAAACCATGAATTCATTCCAAATATTCCATTATTATGATTCCATTATTATTGACGACTTGTGCCCATTTTACAGGCAATTTGCGGATTCCTCTTTCGTAGTAGGATTTTGGTTTGTGTGTGAGACAAGTGTGAGACTCAAAAATTGAGGACTGGAGATCCCAGTTTGAGCACTTTCTTCAAAAGAAACCCATTTTGGTGTCAATAGAAGAGTTGTAGAGAATCAAAAATGAGGCTTATAGCCAAATTTTCAGAACGATACACTTAGTAGTTTCGCTTAAAATGCAACTTTTGTGAAAATGCGTAAATTTGGCATTTCTTGAAAACCAGTTCTTGAATCATTCTGAAAATTTGGATATAAGCTTGATTTTTGATTCTCTACAACTTTTCCATTGACACCAAAATGGGTTTCTTTTGAAGAAAGTGCTCAAACTGTCACATTTGACAATAGCCCGCAGTCTTCAATTCACCAACCCAATAAAAAGCCATAACCACTCTCTACCCAGTTTCACCACCGCTAAGCTAAGTCGGTGACTTAAAGTCAGACTTAAGTCACCATCTCACCACCAATTTAGGACACTGACTTAGAGTGACCTAGCCGATTCACTGACCTAGATGAGGTGACTTAACTAAGTCAGCATTTCGCCACCACTTTAGGACACCGACTTAAATTTTCAGCTAAGTCACTGACTCAGCGTTACTATGGAAATCGCTAAGTCGCTGGAAATCGCTAGGGGGCTTCTCCTAGAGGTAACTTACAAGGTACCTACCGAAACAAATTACAACTTACCGAAACCGCTTTCAAACCCTACTTATCATAAGCCAATTTCGAGATATAAGCCTTCAAAGTTTCGGTCACTTTCGCGAAACAAAATTAGGATATAAGCTTGATTTTTGATTCTCTACAACTTTTCCATTGACACCAAAATGGGTTTCTTTTGAAGAAAGTGCTCAAACTGTCACATATGACAATAGCCGGCAGTTTTCAATTCACCAACCCAATAATTTTACGATTTCCTTGCTTTTTGATCCTTGAGTTCAAGAAATTTTGTGATAAAAAGTATAAAAAGTATCGAGTTTTGAGCTTTGACCGAACAATTTCTGTCTACCAATCACCAATTTAACAATACAATTTAACAGTGTTTGGGTAAAAAAATCGTCAATGATTTCATTTGATGATTTGATGTTCATTTGATTTCATTTGATGTCAAATTTGTGACCAATTCCAGAACTCTCCACCGATGCAATTCTCGGGCCTCCAAGTGACCGCCTGGGTTGTTGTTTTGATGGGAACTGGGTGTCTGATCGGTGCGCTACTCACCGATTTTTGGTCCATTCATCATCCACAACACTCGATTGGTGAGTGAAAAAAGGCAAAAAGCACCGATTTCTACAGGAACCTTTATTGCTTTACATTGATTTTACATTATTGCAAAGTATAAAGGAATCAATGCATTCAAGCTTCTGGAAGTATTAAATACCAGCCGAAAAACTCGCCGGTTTGCTCTGGCCAGTTCTGGTTCTGGCCTTTTGTCGCCTTGGCGCAGTCGTCAGCGTCTACGGCTTGTCTACGGCTTGTCTACTGCTTTACGGCTTGTCTACGGTTTGTCTACGGTTTGTCTACGGTTTGTCTACGGCTTGTCTACGGCTTGTCTACAGCTTGTCTACAGCTTGTCTACGGTTTGTCTATGGCTTGTCTACGGCTTGTCTACGACCCACACGATCCGGGTTCGACTCCCCGTAGTGCCACCTAATTTAAATGGCACAACTATAATAAGACTATAGATAATTTAAGACTTTAAAAAAAATTTCAGCTCTTTTGGTCCAAAGACGGCTGAGAAAAAGCCCGTACAGACAGATGGACGGGCAGAGACTGCTCTTTTATATAGTAGATGTCTAAATAACTGGATTGCTAAATTTCGTATGTAAACCATCGCTATTTCCACCTTTTTAACGTTGGCGCAGTCGAGAACGCGCTTGTCTACGGCCCACACGATCCGGGTTCGACTCCCGGTTGTGTCGTGATTTTTGCTTTTTAAAAAAATTGAAATCTGAGATGCACAACTACATAGAATTCTAAGCCTAACAAAATAAAAATCATGCAAATCGGTCCACTAGGAGTTGAGAAATAGCGCGTACAGACGGACGGACGGACAGACACTTCCCTTTTATCTACAGGATTCGGCAAAACCATCTGGACAACGTTTTGAGAGAGTAGTTCTTGCACGCTTTATTTATTTCAAAAGTATCAAGTGTTATAAAGGGAATTGTAGCCCTTAATCTTAGCTACATTTATCTACTAAAAACTTTCCGATTGGACTTATACAACTAATTTTATGAGCTCTTCAATGAGCACTAGTCGATCCCTATCCATCGTTGCCATGCTTTGGAAAAGTAGTTCTCGCACGCTTTATTTATTTCAAAGTATCGAGTATTCTATAGAGAATTGTAGCCCTTAATCTTAGCTACATATATCTACTAAAAGTTTCCCGATTGGACTTTTACAACTCATTTAACAAGCTCTTGAATGGGCGCCGCTATCCGGCCATTTTTAACGATTTTCTAACTAAAAATTATCTAAAAAGGACTTTATCTTAGTAAACTTTATGTACATGTTACTTTTCTTTCTTTATCCAGTAAACTTTTCGAAAAAGTTGTCCGGATAATTTTGCCCAACGAAATTTTTGTAGATGATCTCCGAATGCATCGTGGCCTCTTCAAGCAATGCATCACCACTGTTCATCAAAGCACTTGTCAATTCCGATTCACAAATCTCATCAATCGAATCAACAATTTCATCGATCTCGGCTTCACGCAAAGGAGTATGGCCTACGAGCAGCAACCATTGCAGGGTGAGCAGCAACCATTGCAAAACCTTGAGCGGATCCTCCTGGCTTAGCCTTTCAGCCTTATTGCCTTATTGCCTCAGATTTAATGTTTCATCTCAGGTTTCGAAGTGGTCACAGTAGTCCTGCTAATCATCGCTCAATTTCTCTCAACTTTCGTGCTCATTTGTGGCCCTTATTGGTGCAGTCGATGGAAGCGGATGTCCCTGTACTCGACATTATTGATCAGTGAATAAAACGGAAATCCCTTTCATCGATTTTCCTTTTCAGCTATCCTAACCACAACCTCTTGTGTGATCTATGCAGTGTACAACTCTCGCGGATTGACGTTCACCCTACGACAAACAATCTATCAAGATGTTTTCAATTTCGATTTTGTGAGTTTTATTTTAAATGACAGAAATTTGTGACTGAGTAAGTCATGGCAACGGTAGGTAGGGTTCTAGTACCTACGCAATGGTAGGTAGTATTCTAGTAACTAGGCAACGGTAGGTAGCATTCTAGTACCTACGCAATGGTAGGTAGTATTCTAGTAACTAGGCAACGGTAGGTAGCATTCTAGTACCTACGCAATGGTAGGTAGTATTCTAGTAACTAGGCAACGGTAGGTAGTATTCTACCCACCGTTGCGATGACTTACTCAGTCACAAATTCTACTTTCCGTTGATATTCTATCGGAATAATGTATTCAAATGTCAAGTCTGGATATCTCTAGTTATAAGTTATATAATCCCGGGAACACTCTCAGGTTTTGATCATTCCAAACGGCTTGAATAACCTGCGAATGTTTAAGTCTTTTATCCCAGGCCAGGCAGGCAAGGTAGGTCAAGGCAAGGTCAATGACTGGTCAGAAACCAGATCTAGGCCTGGCTTCACCTCACTAGAACTGTTTTTAGACTAACCACCGACTTTCAAAACAGGACCTAGCTATAACCCGTAGAATTCTAAGAAACAAGGGTTTTTATTTTTTACCTATGAGCCCATGAAAAACGTATTCAAAGTATAGGCAACTTTTGGCAAACTGCCGCCTATAATAGGGCGCCATGCCGGGCGACACCGAAAGCAGACAAGACCGAAAGCCTAGGGAATAGCGGGCTAGACTCGAAAACCTAGGCTGCTCTTGCTCACGGATTCAGCCGTTTGCCGTTTGCCGTTTGCCGCCAGATTTTAGCAATAGCTTTGTGGGCAATAGCTTTGCGGACAATAGTCTTACGGGCAATAGCTTTGTGGGCAATACTTTGCGGGAAATAGCCTTGCCTGGCAATAGCTTTGCCTTTATAGAAATTTATCGCCATTTTCCAGGGCAGTGACATCAACGAGCTCTCTTGGTCTTTCTATTTGGCAGCTATTGCCGTTGTTTTCTTCATTTCATCCGTTCTACTCAGCGCTTGTTCAAAGCCGCCAATCGAATACGAAGTTGTCAGTGTGGTTTGAGAATTTATCAATAATTTTCTATCTCTATCCGGTCATTCTCAATTTCTGTTTTCGATTTCGATTTCGATTTCGATTTCGATTTCGATTTCGATTTCGATTTCCATTTCGATTTCCTCTTTTACGGGTGCTCTTTTATCGGGTTGTTCTTTCTTTTTTTTGAGATAATATCACAGCTTTATTTTCATTCACATTCAATTAAAGTCTTTTTTCTCATCACAATAAACCTGTCTCAAAATGTCACAGATGGATTTTGCTACATGGTAATCAACTGGGGCTCAACTGGAGCTCAAAAATTGTAAACACACCCTTTCCCGTGCACGGAAATTCTCGTTTTAGCATCGATTTGTTTCCATTTTCAAATACAGAGTACACATTTGGCTATAATTTGTGCTTAAAAAGCGTAAAAGTGACCTTTCTAGTGCACCGGAAGGCTAAATATTTGAAATATTTGAGAGAAATGTGGAGCTAAGTGCACCAAGAAAGATTGGCTTACAAAAGTTGAGCACAAAGCACACAAATACACAAATAAATGTTAAATAAAGCTTAAAGGAGAATTGTATTCACTATATTAAACAATATATAAACAATCAAATCGATATTTAAAACAAAATGACTCTGAGGTAAGGCCTACGTTGAAGATTTGAATCAAAAACAAAGTGACAGGAGTCAAGAACCGTTTAAAAATCAAATGATAGGCAAAAAGATGAATTAAACTAAACAACGGTACTCCTTGAGAAACGATTCACTTTTGGTAGCGGTGGATCATCGATAAAATCAGCCGACAAAACACTATCCGTTTCGGTCGGCTCATTTTCCTCTTGACCAGCACGAATAAATCTGAGATTCTATGCATTGATGACTTTCAAATTATTCTAAAGCAGCTAAATAAGCAGCTAAAGAAATGATAATCTTAACAAAAAGATAATCTTCTAATAAGCAGCTAAAGAAACAATGATAACCTTAACATAATCTTAACATAATCTTAACAAACGACAAACAAACGATTTGAGGAAATTCTGAGGAATTCCCGTTTGAAAACGTTTGTTTTTTGAACACCCTGTATAGAGTTGTGCTCTAGAAAATATGTTTTTCTCAAAAAGCAAACTAGTTTACAGTTTTTCGTTTAAATTTTTCAAATCTACAGACATTTTTTCACTAGATTTATGAGTTTTTGTAAAGATTTAAAACTTTTAGTGTTTAAAATAACAATTAAACTGTTACTTAAAACAAAAGTGTCAATTTAAAAAGGCTTATTGAAGGATTTTTCAATTGAAAACAGGTTCAAATAGGTGAGCACGATGACAGTTTCCCTCAAGCGCACTACAATGGTTCTTTTTGGAGAGCTAGGTGGCTCTGATCAGGATGATTTAGGTGTAGAAATGTTCCCCACAATATCAGAAAGGGGAAAGCCAAATTGTTGACAGGAATTTGACCCGAAAACCTAGAAAAAAGATCCGTTCCAAATCAGGACCGATTCAAATAGGTAAGCGCGATGACAGTTTCCCTCCAGCGCACTACAATGGTTCTTTTGGAGAGCTAGGTGGCTCTGATCAGGATGGTTTAGGTGTAGAAATGCTCCCCAGGATTTCAGCTTCAAAATACCAAATAGTAAGTCGAATTTTGATCTGGGTTTTAGCTGAAAAATCAAGCTGCTTTTGTAAAGTGTGCGGGAATTTTTTTTCGATCACCCTGTAAATGCTTTTATCAAAAGTCGGCTTGATCAATTTTGTTTTGTTTATGTTTATTGCTGTTTATTGCTTTCGTAAAACTTCTGACCTTCCAATCAACGGTATCCCGCCAAAACATCGCATAAAGAAAGCGTCCCAAAAGCGAAACGATCGGAAACAACGCGGTACACACTTCCAAGTGCGTAATGATGGAGGTAGAGATTTTGCAAATCGCACCTGGAATATGAGAAATGTTTGACTTTAGTTAAATATCCGGGGTAGGCTAATTTCCGCAAATTTGTTTGCGCAATTGGGTCATTTGCGCAATTGGGTCGTTTGCGCAACTCGCCATAACTTTCTTCTAAGTGAGCCAATCTTTATGATGTTGCTTTCATTTTGTAGATCTCAATAAATGTAACAAAATGACCCCAAAATCATAAAGATTGGCCGATTTAGAAGAAAGTTATGACTCATCTAGTTCATGACCATCTTCCTTCCGACTCTTTTGATCAATAACTCTCTTCTCAGTGGGCCAATCTTTCTGCTCTTTGTGCCATTTTGTAGATCTCAATAAATGTAACAAAATGACACCAAAATCATAAAGTTTGGTCCACTTAGAAGAAAGTTATGGCGAGTTGCGCAAAAGGGCTCAGTTGCGCAAAAAAAATTGCAGAAATTAACCTACTCCAAATACCCTTAATCCGGTCTTCCGCTCTTTTTTAAGTCATGTCCCAAATACCGTAACCCTCTCTGATTCCGCCATTTCATTTCCCCTTTTTACGCACGAATTTTTCTCTCAGAGTTTCCGTTTGGCGTCTCTTTCTGTATGGTTCTTTAACGCATTTTCTTTAACGCATGCGTTTCTTCTGTATTTATGTCACCAAGCTCATTTCACCAAGCTCTATCACCAAGCTCATTTCACCAAGCTCATTTCCCTTCAAAAAAAGCCTCACTACCACATGGTTTCTCTTGTAAACACACGCCAGTCTATCAGCACCAAGGATCTTTCAACCACTGATAGACTGGCGTGTGTTTACAAGAGAAAACCATGTAGTAGTGAGGCTTTGTTTGAAGTGAAATGAGCTTGGTGATAGAGCTTGGTGACATAAATACAGAAGAAACGCATGCGTTAAAGAACCACACAGAAAGAGAGGCCAAATCACAATCACTTTCATCCACTCGCAAGGCGACTTACTTGATTGACGGAGTCACTGTTTAGATAACAGCTTGTTTATCTACCCACGGCCTCCTCAAACTATCGGAAACTGGCACTATCGAGCCTGAGAATTGCCAAAAGTCCTCAAACTCTGATCATTATGATCTTTTATCTTATCAGCTTTTATCAGCACTTTCTCTTATCTATTGCATCAAAGTACCTGCAAATAATTGATAAAACCAATCAAAGCGATCACTCCAAAAAGCTCGGCCAAGAAAAGATAAAGGAGAAAATCAGGGCCCAACGATAACGCGAAAACGATCGCTGGAAGGATGATGAAGAGGCCGATTATGTAGATCAAGATAAACCAACGATACTGAAAGTTTTTCTGTTTCTGGACACAGTTTTAAGAATATCAAGTGATCGCTTACCTCAGCAGTCGCATTTCCCAAGCGTTTACACAAGAAAATCGGCACTTTTCTTGTCCATGGGATCACGTAAAACATTGTTGTGCCCATCACATTGTAGATAACCGAACACATCGCCATGTGTAGGGTTCTGAAGATGATCTTTGTGCGAGGGTTTTGTGTGAAACTTTAGAAACTTCTCAAATCGTGCCTCATCCGCGGACATTGCTGCCAAAACGGCTGAAAAGGTGGCCCCAATATTTGAGCCGAGTGTCAATGGGTAGACTTTATCGAGGGAAATCACACCGATACCCACTAATGGAGTCAGTGATGAGGAGAAGATTGAATTCGATTGTAACTGAAAGCTCGAGAGATGCTTGGTTTTTGGAAGTCCTATTTGCAACTCTCAAATCATCTTTTGAGTAAACAACAATCGATTTTTGATCAAATCAAAATCTACAACGCAATAAACAAACCAAAAGTGTGACGACCATTCCGATAAACATAATGATGTATCCGGTGAGGAAAGAGAATGGCCGAGGCACTTCTTTGTCTAAGGCTTTCCTCAATGGAACTGCCAGACGACCGGCGAGCATTTTCTGAAAGAATGAACTAGCTTTTGTGTCGTAGCTGATTCTAAATCTCAGCTGATCATGAATTTCAGCCGATTCTGAATAAGTGGATCTTTTAGCTATTCTTTTTACTCTAGAACCATGGGCATTCATTTGTGTGCATTCTTCTCATTATTCATCTTGTTTTAGATGCTATCGGAGCTCTTTGGTTACTCACTTTAATCACTATCAGTTACCTTATTTTCTCTAATAGTAGTGCACCCTGAGCGTCGTCTAAATTCCTCGAAATCTCGAGAACCGCTTATCAGAACCTATCGATGTGGGATCGGAAAATGTAGCTGACGATGAGATCTTGTGGGGATTAGGGGTTGGGCCCCCGGGAAAACTGGGGGGGAAAAAAAAAAAAACACACCCCCCCCGGCCGGGGGGGGGGGGGGGGGCAAAAAAAAGAAAAAAAAAAAAAACAAAACCCCACCAACCGAAGGCAACCGGGCCCGCCCCGGGGGCCGGAAACCCCGGAACAACAAAAAAAACAAAACAAACAAAAAAAAAAAAACGGGGGGGGGGGGGAAAAGGGGGGGGGGGGGGAACCCCGGCGAAAAAAATGAAAAAGGGGGGAAAAAAAAAAAAAAACAAAACCCGGGGGGGGGGGGGGGGGGGGGGGGGGAACAGAAAACGCTATTTTCGGGGGGGGGGGGGGGCCCCGGGGGGGGGGGGACGACGGAAAAAAAAAAAAAAAAAAAAACCCGGGGGGGGGGGAGGGGGGGGGGGGGGGGAGGGAGGGGGGGGAGGGAGTGGGGATTAGAGTGTTGAGCTTCTGCAAAAAGCTTGGGAACAATAAAATAGTCATCAAACTCGGCTTGGCGCGGTGCACTACTATTAGAGAAAATACGGTATATCAATGCTTATAGCAATAGCAAGTCTTTGGTATCCAATAACTTTCCATTAAAGTTCAGAAGTTTAAATCTCAAAACGAACTAAAGGTCTTTAGGTAAATAACTACAAAATGATACTGTTACAAGTGGGTTTGGCCATTGAATTTATCCACTTTAGTACTTGATCTTTTATTTGTGTGTTGGTTGAGAGCTGATCTGTCTCCATGAGATCTGAGAGCAGGTGCCGAGAATTTCCGAATTGATGCATGCAAATCGATTCTGCTATCATCAATGCTATTTCTAGAGCCTATCGCTATTTCTAGAGCCTCTAGACAAAGAGTATCTAGACAAAATTATCCGGGCAAAATTATGCAGAGCACTTTTTGGAAAGGTTACTTTACTTGCTAAAATTACTGCTAAAATTACGTTTACTTAGCTGTTATAGCGCTATAAAATTGTTGGAAATAATCTTTTAAACAAATTGTACACAAAGTTTACTAAATAAAGTCCTTTTTAGAGCAATTTTTAGGTAGAGAATCGTCAAAAATGGCAGCGCGCCCGATAGGAATCGACTAGTGCTCATTGAAGAGCTCATAAAATTAGTTGTATAAGTCCAATCGGGAAACTTTTAGCAGATAAATGTAGCTAAGATTAAGGGCTACAATTCTCTATAGAATACTTGATGCTTTGAAATAAATAAAGCGTGCGAGAACTACTTTTCGGAAAAGTTGTCCGGGTGATTTTGCCTAAACCTGTACAAATCAAATATGCATTACATTGCTTTTATGCTTTTACTTGCTAAAATTATTGCTAGAGTTACTGCTATAGTTACTGCTAAGTTACTGCTAAAGTTACTGCTAAAGTTACTGCTAAAGTTACTGCTAAGTTACTGCTAAGTTACTGCTAAAGTTACTGCTAAAGTTACTGCTAAGTTACTGCTATAGTTACTGCTAAGTTACTGCTAAATTACGTTTACTTGCTACGTTGCTTTATGCTTTAAAATGCTTTTACCGTGATCAAATGCACAATTCCGCAGAGACACAGAATGAGCGAAAGAACTGAGACCACGACAATGATCACCCCAATCCACATGTCCGATAGGGAAGAGTAGGCAAAAATGTGCTTGTATGGACCTGAAAAATATTGAGAATTGGCAAAGTACAACAAAGGAAAATGAAAATGATAAAAATCACTTACAATTAGCTATCCTCGATCCATTCGGAAAGACGCATCGATTGACGAAAGTGTGATCAGGGGAAAAGTAATCTCTGGCTATGGTCGCGTTTCGAATCTCTGCTTCATTTACCTAAATGTTGCGCTTAAAGTTTTGTGCATTAGAAAAGCTTTTTACTGTTACTTGTTACTGTTACTGTTACTCTTGTACATTACAAAGAAGGCTTGCAGTGAATCCAGGCCAGTCCAGGAGCTGGCTAGCTAGTGAATCCAGGCCAGTCCAGGAGCTGGCTAGCTAGTGAATCCAGGCCAGTCCAGGAGCTGGCTAGCTAGTGAATCCAGGCCAGTCCACGAGCTGGCTAGCTAGTGAATCCAGGCCAGTCCACGAGCTGGCTAGCTAGTGAATCCAGGTCAGTCCAGGAGCTGGCTAGCTCTGAGTTCACTTGATTTGGCCTTGTAAGATTGCCGTTACCCAATTTCACTCTGCATTTCGTATCAAATAATTAATCTAACCTGTAGTACGAGTTTATTGATCGGATCAGTGATGTAATCGAGAGTTTTGAAGGTGAGTCCCTTTTCAGAGACTAATGGGTCAACGATCAACCAACTCGTTTTCTCGATTACACCTGAAAGTAGAAATTTTTGTTTATCAGCTAGTTTTCAGCTGTTTATCAGCTTTTTTGGCATTTAAAGAGTACTTGTAAATAATTCAAGCGGTAAAATGATGATAAGAGTGCAGAAATTGAACACATCGGGTAAAGTGGCGGCTGCGAAAGCTCTTCTGAAAATTGAAGTACACCGCTGGCTGACAGAGAAATACAAAGAATTTCTGATTATAAGAATTCTGAAACTGTTGTAAGGTATCTTTATAGAAAACTATGATATTTAAGCTCTATTCCCCAATCTCCAAACCTGAATTGTTCTTTATTCCCCGAATAGGCCATTGAAACGAAAGAATTGATGAGAGATGAGCCCAACTCCGAGCCGATCATCACCGGGATTGCTGTGTGAACGGTGATCACTGGAATCAGTGGAAATAGAAGCTTTGTTAGATTCAGTGGGTTCATTTCTATCTAGGCTAGCCAAAAGTCAAGGCTAGCCAAGCCAAGCCAATAACAAGCCAACAAAATTGACCTAGAATTTCAATCTTACCATTGGATTTTATTCTAAAAGCTTCGCTTTTGCTTGGCTTGCCCTGGAAACTTAGCCAATCCGCTGACAAGTACTCAAAGTAGACATAGTTTTTGGTAAAATCATCGGAGCGGATTGGGTTAGGATGATCGGACCTATTGGATCGGAGTGGATTGGGCTGCCGGATCGGTCGAACCTATCGGATCGGATTGGGCTAGCCCGATTGGTCGAACGGATTGGATCTGGCTAGCCCGATTGGTCGAACGGATCGGATCGGATCGTGCTAGTCCGATTGGTCGAACGGATCGGATCTGGCTAGCCCGATTGGTCGATCGGATCGGATCGTGCTAGTCCGATTGGTCGAACGGATCGGATATGGCTAGCCCGATTGGTCGAACGGATCTGGCTAGCCCGACCGGTCGAAGGGATCGGATTGGGCTAGCCCGATTGGTCGGACCTATTGGATCGGATCGGTTCTGATCCGATTCGATTCGATAAAGCCCGATCCGACCATGTCTAACTCAAAGTACTTACTATTCGCAGCCACCATACTGACGAGAACGGTCACAGTGGCGGTGGGACTTTGAAGGACAACCGTTGTAACCATGCCCAAAATGAGACCCGAGATCGGATCTTGGAGAAGTGGGGAATCTTTGATTGCATGACCTGGAATTGATAATGAAACATCAAACAAACATCTTTTCCTTTCTTCTGGGCACTATAAACTACACAAATGATGAGCTGTCACACTACAAACGCTTCTAACTTGCTTTATAACTGTCAGATTTGTATGATCTATAGCTCAAAAGATAGAGAATCTCAAGAGCTTTCGAATGGATCAAAGCACATCCAAAAATAGAAATGCTAAAGAAAGTTATAGTGACTAGAACTAGAAGCTAGACTAGAAACGGACCGTCGAAGTGATCGAATCAGGCTGCAAACCAATGTAACTTTCTTTAGCATTGCTATTTTTGAGCGCGCTTTAGTCTATTCGAAAGTTTATGCTAGTATTTTATGGTATTTTAGTACCCATATCTTTTTCTCACCTAATCCAAAACTGCCAATCAACGAGAAAGCTGTGGCGATTTGAGCGAGCGAGCAAATGTAGACGAAAAGAATGAAAAGAATTGTTAATAAACGGAGAAATGTGGCGATGATGAATAGACGTTTTTCACTTGATGGTATCTCTGAAAGAGATCTCTCAATTCTCTGAATCTTTTGCACTCACCACTCCATTCTTTGACCTCATCCTCTTTCCTTTTCGAATCGCGTCGCCGAAATTTTGGCACCGGTAAGTCTACGTCGGAAACCTTCATGCATAGGTCTGAAAGTTTAGATAATTTCAACAAAATAACCAATTTCAAGATACAACAATAGAAATCAATAGCCATAGATTTACCAAAATTTACCAAAATGTGCCAAGGCTAAGCCAAGTTGGACACGAGCTTGACGAGCTCCAACTCCGCTTGGAGTTGCTTGAAGTCCAAGCAAACAAGCCTACTATGCGATGTTCTCCAAATGTACAAAATGCGACTTGCACGTGGTTCTAATCTGCTTTTGTTTACTCTAATCCTAAAGCTAGAGGCCAAAATCTGGCCTGGTCCAGAAAAGTGCACAGAAATTGTGGTTCTGGATGTGCTCTTGCCTAAGTGGGCCAAACGCCCTGTTTGGCCCAGAAAATAGCAGATGTCCGCTTTACCAACCAAAGCTACCTCCCATGCCAGAGCACAAATTGGATGGGACTCTAATCCTAAAGTTAGAGACCAAAATCTGGCCCCGATTTGGCCCAGAAAAGTGCACAAAAACTGTGGTTCTGGATGTGCTCTTGCCTAACTCTAAAGAAAGAAGGCTAATCCCGACCTGGCCAGGTTCGAACCGTTTTCAAGAAGTACTCAAACCGACTTTATGAAATCTGTATCTAGTTAATGCTAAACCGGCATGATGGCTAACTCCGCCCCTTTTTTGATCCGTTTGCCGTTGGCAATCTACGAATTTTGCTCGTATCTTGATCGGATTTGTTTGAAAGCCGTTGAATTTGCTTTCATTCGACTCGAAAAAACGAACAAAGCAAACACAACGCAAAAAGCAAAAAGAGCAAACAACAAACAAACCCGGCAAAGACAAGAAAAAGCGCAGGAACAGGTGGGACGACAGGCAAGAATGTTTGGGGCCCCGTTGGAGGCAACAGCCATGAAAGGACAACCACAGAAGCCCAGAACAGCTATTTGAACCAAAAACCAAAAGCTAAAATAACCAAGACACAAAACCAAAACCACCCTAACGAGGCCTACGAACCTTTGGACTTGTTTGTGTTTGGTCTGTGAAATTTTTTTTCTGCAACTTCAATGCGCTGATATGACTGGTTAAACTTGAAGCTTCGTGAAGCCTCGTTAACAAGTCTAGCTGCGACTATGGTAGCCAGGCTATCGACTTGTCTCTTTTTGACTGGGGAAAATTTATTTTCTGACATTCTCAGACTTTAACTCTCGCTCTATCATCACTTAGCTTACCCTTACACTTTTAATAAACCTCTAAATCATTGAAAGTCTAACTTTTCTAGTCTAACCGCGAGTAACATTCTGAGATACTAATCAACTTGTGTTGCTGTGAGCTGTGAGGCTAGAGCTGTGAGGCTAGAGCTGTGAGGCTAGAGCTGTGAGGCTAGAGCTGTGAGGCTAGAGCTGTGAGGCTAGAGCTGTGAGGCTAGAGCTGTGAGGCTAGAGCTGTGAGGCTAGAGCTGTGAAAATGAACCAGGCTAGAGCTGTGCAATGAAAAAAACGCGAAGACGGCTGTGTGCCCATGAATAATGTCTAAATAAAGAATAAAGAGAAGAAAGAATAAAGAGAATAAATGAAAAAATGCATAAGAGATGTCAGGAGCGGTGGAACCGTGCTGTGATGCGCTTACCCGAGCCAAAGAACCCAAAGAACCCAAAGAGCCAAAGAACCCAAAGAACCCAAAGAACCCAAAAATCTGCAACTAACTGCATCAAAATACTACCAAGTGGCCAATCAGAAAAAAAGCTTTGACAAGTAAAAGTGACGACAAAAATCACCGAGAGCACTATCTGTGAAAAGCTCAAACTTTTGGGGATAGCGAGCTTTCTTTCACACATTCACCACTCTTTTTCGGCCTCAAATTGGGGGATTTTTCGCTTTGTGGGTTTTTTTTAACGATCAATGTGAATTCGGAAAAGGAATTGAAATTGATTGAAAGGAAAACGAGCAAATCGAACTTAAATCTGAAACCAAAAATGATTGTTTTCATAGGGGAAATTTTACCCAAATCAAGCTTTATCAAGAAAATATTAAATTAAAACCTTGTTTGACTCTTTTTTCGACCCTTGAAAGCAGACATGCGGAGAAACCGAACAATTACCACCGCCCTATGCCAACTATTGCCCACCACTCATAGTATTAGGTTTTTCAGTTATAAATGCGCGTTTTTGAGGGCTTATTCCAAATATTTCTGCAAGTTCTCGTGTCGTTTGTCGAGAATCAATTTCGATCGCCTGTTTAAGTACTGCACTATCGATCGTAGGAGGCCGTTGGTGGTGGTCCTCATCTTCTAAAGATTCATTTCCTTCTCCAAATCGTTGAAACCGTAGGCTCACCCGCTTAGGCTTAGGCTTAGGCTCAGGCCTAGGCTTAGGCTTAGGCTTCTTGAGTAGCGTAGGGGGTAATTGTTCGCTCGTCCCCAGGCATGCAAATGTAAAGATGTAACCTAGAAAGCTCTTGCGCTCAATCTGCTCTACTGCTGTTAATAGTAAATTACCGTATTTCCTCTAATAAACGCCCCCCCCCCCTGATCAACTTTGGACGCTTCGTTCTCAGCCCCATTTGGAGATATTTTTATGTTTAATATATCAAAAGATAGCCCTTAATGTCTTCTATCTTTTGATATATTAAACATAAAAATATCTCCAAATGGGGCTGAGAACGAAGCGTCCAAAGTTGGTCAGGGGGGGGGGCGTTTATTAGAGGAAATACGGTAAGCTTTAAAAAGAAAGTTGACTTTAAAAGTTCAGAAAACAAATCTCAGGATATCGTGAACGGAAAAACAATGGGTTTCAGACTGTTTCCGAAGATTTTGCAGGAGTGAAGAGAAGAGGCCAATCCGTATGCAAATAGACCAGAAACATGGCCTCTTTTCTCATTTTTCTTTCATTTTCTTTTGTGAATGTCTCCCTCAGTGCCTCACAAACCACTTGTTTGACACTCTTTTCAACAAAAAGAAAAATGAAATGAATGAAAAGGGAAAGACAGGGAAATTTGCATGCAACTTGGGAATATCGAAAGGTCAAAGTGCTTTAACTAATAATAGATAGATCACTCAAATAATAGAATAACGCTAAGCTTTAAGTTATTAGCTTTAAAGCTAATAACTAATAAAACTACCGTAAATACTGCAATTGAAGGGAATGAGGGAAGCTGATTCTTCTAGTTTTTTCCCTATCCTTTTTCAGACTCCCCGAAAAACACATAATCCATATAAAAATCCATAGAAAAACCATAGAAAAGCCATTTAAAATCACTCTAGCTTGATTGGAAATGCTCTAAAATGAAAGAAAAACACGTTTAAAACAAGCACACCGTATTTTCTCTAATAGCACCCCGGCGAGCCGAGTTGGTGACTATTTTACGGTTTCGAAGCTTTTGCAGAAGATCCCCCACAAGATCCCCACAAGATCCCCACAAGATCCCCCACAAGATCCCCACAAGATCCCCCACAAGATCACAAGATCTAATCCCCCACAAGATCCCAGCTACCGTACTTCAACTGCCTTAGGATTAACTATAGAACTACCATACTATACACCTTAGTCACCTAAAGAGCCTGGATTACGGTCGGCTTACGGTTGGACAGAAGGGCTACAGTTTTCTAAAAGATTTGATTATGGACGGGCCATCGCACTTCAGTCATCTTTAAAAACTTGATCAATAAAACTACCTTATTTTCTCTAATAGTAGTGCACCGCGGCGAGCCGAGTTGGTGACTATTTTACAGTTTCCAAGCTTTTGCAGAAGCTCAACACTCTAATCCTCCACTAGATCTCAGCGTCAGCTACATTTTCCGACCCCACATCGATAGGTTTTGATAAGCGGTTCTCGAGATTTCGAGGAATTTAGGCGACGCTTTGGGTCCACTACTACTAGAGAATACGGTATACACAATTCTAAGCACTTTTCAGCTAAACTCTTTTTCAAAAGTAGTAACTTTTAGGCGGCCAAATTTGGATGGGGACGGTGCCCTATTACAGTATTTACGGTAATAAGTGATAGAACTAATAACTAACAGAACTAATAACTGATAGAACTAATAACTAATAACTAACAGAACTAATAACTAACAGAACTAATAACTAACAGAACTAATAACTAATAGAACTAATAACTAATAGAACTAATAACTAACAGAACTAATAACTAATAGAACTAATAGCTAATAGAACTAATAACTAACAGAACTAATAACTAATAAAACTAATAACTAACAAAACTAATAGCTAACAGAACTAATAACTAATAGAATAGTGAACTAATCATTTCGTCCTTTGTTTAGTTTTCTTTCAGACGATCAATTCAATTAATCATGTGTAAACAACAGTTTTCAGTTCTTTTCAGTTCTTCAGTTTCTTCAGTTCATTTGAAATTTAGATTCAAAAACTTAACAATGGAATAATTTCAGCGCAAAGCTGAGAATTGTTTCGAGACCAGCTGCATCTTATAGAATCGGCTATGATAATTATGAATCTGTAAAAACTAACTACAAACACCCATGCAATCGCAAATCTGGAATAGAAAGTTTGCTCTAATTTTGGGCTCTTTATGAAAGTTACAAGGAAAGTCGCTACAAGGAAAGTTCCCAATGACTTCTGTGGGCTAGTGGATAGTGTGCTAGCTTGGGGAACTTATGAAGTTCTTTAGGCTTCAGTTCGAATCCCCCTAACCAATTTTCTTCTTTTTTGACGCATTTGCATTAAATATTAGGTTTTATGCATCATTTTTACAGCTTTTACAGCTTCTACAGCTTCTACAGCTTCTACAGCTTCTACAGCTTCTACAGCTTCTAACAGCTTCTATAGCTTCTAACAAGCTTCTACAGCTTTTACAGCTTCTACAGCTTCTACAGCTTCTACAGCTTCTATAGCTTCTACAGTTTCTATAGCTTCTTTAGCTTCTACAGCTTCTACAGCTTCTACAGCTTCTACAGCTTCTATAGCTTCTATAGCTTCTATAGCTTCTATAGCTTTTATAGCTTCTACAGCTTTTACAGCTTCTACAGCTTTTACAGTTTCTAAACAGCTTCTACAGCT